CGGCGGTAAAGTCTTTTAAACATTGCAGGGGTTGTTTCCCACCCCCCTAAAAAAACGCATGGCTGGTGTTGATTAATTAAGGCAAGGATGAGCCTAACTCCCCGTCATTTTTTAGGCCGTAATGCATGCTGAATACGTCTGGAAAGGTATACGAAAAGCTGTTTAAGGCCTGTCCTCTACAGGCCATACAAAACGTGAAAGACTTATCCGACAGGCAGTACGGATTCAGGAAAGGAAGTTCTACCATAGGAGGAGTAGTAGAAGTAGTAAAAGCAGTTTAAAGCACTGAAAACATATGCCATGGAGCAAGACCCCTCATTCTTCTGGTGACCTTGGACGTAATAAACGCTTTTAACTCAGCAAGTTGGAAGGACATGCCTCACGCTATGAAACATACATTTAAAACACCAGATTATCTGTTGAGATGATGATGATGATGATGATGATGATGATTATGATGATGATGATGATGATGATGATGATGATGATGATGATGATGATAATGTTGATGATGATTATGATGATGATGATGATGATGATGATGATGATGATGATGATGATGATGATAATGATGATAATGATAATGATGATGATGATAATTATGATGATGATGATGATGATGATGATGATGATGATGATGATGATGATGATAATGATGATAATTATGATGTTCATAACTTTAACGATGGATGTTCTATCAGTCATAGCGATTATGGTGATGGTATATTATCATATCTTTACGGTGACGATCACGGTGGTTAAGATGATCATAAAATTAATAGTTATGATGTTAATGATGTGGATGAAAATGAAACTAATGATAATGATCTTTGGGTATTTAACGTTGCAAACTTGATTGACATGATAATTACGAGTTTATTATCATCAACGATGTTCGTTTTAATTGTAATAATGATATCGATAAGGATTGACACAATGGTGATAATGACACAAAAGTAATTTTATAATTAGATAATACTAATAAGAACTTAGATTACTATTATTTTTTGTAATGTTTTGGATAATGTCAAGATAGCGGAAATGAGATTGACGATATTGACAACCTTGTGATATTTTGCAGGAGAAGTATGATTAAGTTAATTTTTTGTTTTTCTTAAGTTCTTGAAGAAATTTCATCCTATCAACATGCACAAAAATATAGGTTTTGGTGTACGTGACGGAATATATTCTTTTTATCTTATGTGTTGCCATATTTATATATATTAAATGTTAAAAGGTGCAAAATATTTATAACGTAATGAGAAAGTCTCTATTAGCTGCTTGATTATATTTCTATTTAATTAGATAATAAATTGCGTAAAGAATTGAAAAAAACAGATGTTTGAAGTAGGATGGAGATACTTTAAACGAATGAAGTACTAAGTTTTTTTCTTATGAGGAATGGAAACTTTATTTTTAACAAATTTTTGTTNTAAAACCCTTATAGTTATAACAAATAGCTTTTTTTTTATAACGTATGAAAGTATAAATACATAACACTTAAGGATCTACAGTTATTTAATGGGGTATGAGATAATAAATTGCGTAAAGAATTGAAAAAAACAGATGTTTGAAGTAGGATGGAGATACTTTAAACGAATGAAGTACTAAGTTTTTTTCTTATGAGGAATGGAAACTTTATTTTTAACAAATTTTTGTTAAATCTTTAAGAAATTTTTATAATTTTTGGAAATTTCTATGCACACCTAGATATCTTTTGTAACTGCTATACTTAAAACTTACTTAACAATAAATAAAAAAACTTGGGGTATTACAGGGAAACAAAGATAAGCCAAAAACACAATTTTTTTAGGGTACTTACATTCTTGCAGTACACGAAACGACAGTGTTTTAGTGACGATCTAACATTAGGAAGATGGTTAAGTGCAGAGAATCTGACGAATACCTGTTAATAGTTTATTTTCTCGAGCCAACATACCAAACAAACTGTTTTTGTAATGCGTGTCACGCAAGACATAGACATACACGATAAATGGACCACCTTTGCCAAACAACTTCATATGTTAATTGACTTGAAAATTTCTCGTCGAATTTTAATAGATAATCCAGTTAATGTTTAAATACACGGCTTTTGTGATGCTAGTTTCAACGGCTATGGTGCTTGTATATATTTACGGTCTGTAGATGCAAACGAGAAAATTCAAGTCAACTTAGCATGTGCTAAGCTACGAGTAAAACCAATCAAAGATACAACTATTCCAAAATTAGAATTATGTGGGGCTTTAGTGTTAGCTAAACTTCGGCATGAAATAAGATAAGGCTCTCACATCTATTAATTATACTACTATAAGTCATGTTTTTGGTTGGTCTGATTCAACCATAGTTTTACAATGGTTAAAAAGGCCGCTTGAATCATTAAAAATTTTCGAGAAAAATCGAGTAGAAAAAATTCAAACTTTGGCCGATTTTGTTGAATGGAGACACGTTTGTTCTCAAAATAATCCAGTATACAAATCCAGGCCAAATATCTGTACCTTATCACAAAACAACATGTTTTGACGAACTTAATCCATTCATAGAAGACGATGATCTTTTGCAAGTCGGAGGACGATTAAAACGATCAAAATTAATATTTGAGCAAAAATTTCCTATCCTACTGCCATCAAATAATCATGTTGACGATCTAGTAATAAAAGATATGCATGAAAAATCCATGCATGCAGGTATTCAAGCAACTTTATATTATTTACAGAAATTTACTTTATATTATCAAGTCAGAAAGGTCGTGCGTCAGTGTGTCACATGCGTCCGTATGAAATCCATTGCGTTGCAAGCTCCCATGGCAGACTTAACCGAATCTCGCATAACCGAAGCACCAGCATTCATGCACGTAGGAGTTGATTATTAAAGTCCTATATTTATTAAACAAAAAAAATTACGTAATTGAGTCCGCATCAAGGCCTACGGTTGTTTATTTGTGTGTATGAGCACAAAAGCTGTTCGGATTGAAATCTTCAATGATTTGACTACTGATGCCTACATTGGGGCCTTGAGGCGGTTTGTCAGTCGTAGGGGCATGCCTCAACATATTTATTGTGACAACGGTTCAAATTTTAAAGGTGCTCATAATCAACTCTAAGAACTTTATAAACTCTTACACTCAAGGGAATTTAAATCCGAAGTTGAAAACTACGCGATTGACCATAATATTAAGTGGCACTTTAATTCGCCCCTCTCCCCTCATTTTGGTAAATTGTGGGAGGCGGCGGTAAAGTCTTTTAAACATTGCAGGGGTTGTTTCCCACCCCCCTAAAAAAACGCATGGCTGGTGTTGATTAATTAAGGCAAGGATGAGCCTAACTCCCCGTCATTTTTTAGGCCGTAATGCATGCTGAATACGTCTGGAAAGGTATACGAAAAGCTGTTTAAGGCCTGTCCTCTACAGGCCATACAAAACGTGAAAGACTTATCCGACAGGCAGTACGGATTCAGGAAAGGAAGTTCTACCATAGGAGGAGTAGTAGAAGTAGTAAAAGCAGTTTAAAGCACTGAAAACATATGCCATGGAGCAAGACCCCTCATTCTTCTGGTGACCTTGGACGTAATAAACGCTTTTAACTCAGCAAGTTGGAAGGACATGCCTCACGCTATGAAACATACATTTAAAACACCAGATTATCTGTTGAGATGATGATGATGATGATGATGATGATGATTATGATGATGATGATGATGATGATGATGATGATGATGATGATGATGATAATGTTGATGATGATTATGATGATGATGATGATGATGATGATGATGATGATGATGATGATGATGATAATGATGATAATTATGATGTTCATAACTTTAACGATGGATGTTCTATCAGTCATAGCGATTATGGTGATGGTATATTATCATATCTTTACGGTGACGATCACGGTGGTTAAGATGATCATAAAATTAATAGTTATGATGTTAATGATGTGGATGAAAATGAAACTAATGATAATGATCTTTGGGTATTTAACGTTGCAAACTTGATTGACATGATAATTACGAGTTTATTATCATCAACGATGTTCGTTTTAATTGTAATAATGATATCGATAAGGATTGACACAATGGTGATAATGACACAAAAGTAATTTTATAATTAGATAATACTAATAAGAACTTAGATTACTATTATTTTTTGTAATGTTTTGGATAATGTCAAGATAGCGGAAATGAGATTGACGATATTGACAACCTTGTGATATTTTGCAGGAGAAGTATGATTAAGTTAATTTTTTGTTTTTCTTAAGTTCTTGAAGAAATTTCATCCTATCAACATGCACAAAAATATAGGTTTTGGTGTACGTGACGGAATATATTCTTTTTATCTTATGTGTTGCCATATTTATATATATTAAATGTTAAAAGGTGCAAAATATTTATAACGTAATGAGAAAGTCTCTATTAGCTGCTTGATTATATTTCTATTTAATTAGATAATAAATTGCGTAAAGAATTGAAAAAAACAGATGTTTGAAGTAGGATGGAGATACTTTAAACGAATGAAGTACTAAGTTTTTTTCTTATGAGGAATGGAAACTTTATTTTTAACAAATTTTTGTTAAATCTTTAAGAAATTTTTATAATTTTTGGAAATTTCTATGCACACCTAGATATCTTTTGTAACTGCTATACTTAAAACTTACTTAACAATAAATAAAAAAACTTGGGGTATTACAGGGAAACAAAGATAAGCCAAAAACACAATTTTTTTAGGGTACTTACATTCTTGCAGTACACGAAACGACAGTGTTTTAGTGACGATCTAACATTAGGAAGATGGTTAAGTGCAGAGAATCTGACGAATACCTGTTAATAGTTTATTTTCTCGAGCCAACATACCAAACAAACTGTTTTTGTAATGCGTGTCACGCAAGACATTTTACTTGTTTTGTTATTCTTGTTTCTTGTGTACATATATATAAAAAGCTTTATTTTTTATATAAGTTTTATTTTGTAAATAAATTTTATATAAGTGTTTCATACTTTACCTAAAAAAAATGGTGGTTGTAAACACTCCGTTTCACTTTCAACTATAGTTTGAAAAACAGCCTTTAAGGTGTGACTCTCACTATTGCATGTCGTAAATGTGGTTATTTCTGTAAGATTTAAAAATAAAAAATTTGTACCAAAAGTTACTTCCGAAAGTATGTAGAACTGATATCATGCGAAGTATTTTCAAGTAAAAAATAACTAGTAATTGATATTTTACTTAAAAAAATTCTGTGAGTTATTCTTAAAGCTTTGTTTTTAATGGTTATACTGAAACCAATACGAAGAAGCTAAGGTATTTGAACCTTTAATCAATGAATAGTTAAAGTAGTTATCAATACATTAACATTGAAAAGTTGATATATATGACCTTACAACCTTAGAATGATCTACTTTTAAGGAAAATATTTTTATACATTCAATTATATGACGTTATGATTTTCATTTGCTTTTTACGTATGATCTTGGTATTCTCTACTTATTTAAGACAGCTTTATGCTACATCAAAAAAGTTCGATTTTTCTTAGACTTTTAGTTAAATCTGTCTGTAATAAGGGTTCTGCAATTATTTTCTAAGAGTACAACTCTTAGGGGGCAAACAAATTATGTTTGTGTGTAACATAGTTTATGATGAACTTTTATCAGAAAATATTTATATTTGTCCTCAAGTATCTAGGATAAAAGAAATGATAGTAAACTTGTAGAAAAACCGTTATTCTTCGTTATCAAAACTGCTTTATGTATTCCTTACTCCTAAAAAAAATCTTCAACTTTAAGGGTACGTGTGCATAGAAAAACTAATTACAAGTATACTTTGTATATACTACAAGACTTTACAATTTTTTTTGTTTTTATTTGCATATTGGAAATCAAGACGACAAATGCAACCGTAAAATAAGCTGTAAAGCTATAATTCTATAATGTAAAGAAAAAGTTTTCCATACAAGAAACTCTTTATGAGCTCTTGCACCCTTTGATTTTCCATTACGCTGTTTTCCTCAGTTTGCTTTAATGAATTCCTACTCCATTTTTTTTCAATTTTCTGATTCAAAAACATAATAGAAGAATTAATTTCTTGAAAATTTTAGTAGTTGCTGGCATATGAAATATTTTCCGATGCCATTATTATATGTGACGTATTAATTTTTATAACATGTAGAGCCTTCTGATAAACGAGGATCAAAATTGATAGTAAATAAAATCGTCATATTTTTTTAACAAAGAGACTCAAATACGTTTTAACATAGTATATTTTCTTATCATAACTTTTTCATTACTCAAACAGTAATATTACTTATACATAAAGTAAAGTCAGAAAAACAGTAGTAATCGCAACAACTATCCAACCGATCTTTCTGTAATTTTGCGTACTTATTATTGACATTTCTTGGATAGTTTTTGTGTAGTTCTTATTTAAAGAAAGTTTAATAACAATAGCAATAAATAAGCTCATATTTTTGCAAAAACACACTAGCTGTTTACTTCAGTTCAGTAAGATCTTATAGGTAGCGTTGAAATCAAACTGAAGCTACGTGCAATAAAAGTAAGTAGGTCTGATTATAATATTTCCAATAAAATTAACGAATACTTGATTCGTTTACTGGCAATGATTGAAGAATAGAGTTGTAAGTCATGTAACTGGATATCGCAGCTACTGATGACACATTTCTCCAATGCACCAATGACTTATATCTAATTTTATCCCAGACCATCAAGATTAACGAGTGCCACGAATGAAAGGTGTTCTGAACTCTAACGTGTCTGGTGTATAACGGGGATGCGTCTAGCAAGAGCACAGTCTGCTGTATTAACGAAGGAAGTCGTAGTCGTTCTTCCAACTGACCAAGTGCTAGCAGAGCATATTTTGTTAAAACAGCAAACCAAGAAACGAACCCTGATGCGTTTAGGCAGCTTAATCAGCTACAAATTTCATCAGCCTCTTACTTTGTGGTTCGTCCCAACGGCATACCCACAGAAAAAGAGTCCAGTCCCACTTCTTTGACAAATGGTAAATGGTTGGTTATTTAGGGAACGACCCCATGACAAGATATTCTTCTGCCAGTGGTGTACCCCCTTCCAGCGCGGTTTTTATCCGCAGAAACTTGAAGGGTAAGAATCAAGGTTTTTATTAACAGCAGTAGGGCAGAGAAGAACACGCAGCGGTATCCAAGCAGTCACGTTTGCTGAAAACTTTAGTCAAGAAAAATTTAAGCTCACCAATCCTTCTTAAGGCTATTGCACATCGAACTAACTTGCAAACAAATATATTACAACTTAAAAAAGTTGATAAAGAACAGCTTTTAGGGCTCACAAAAGTGTTAACCATGCCTATGGTTGCAAAAATTCGAATCAGATAAAAAACTTTTAATGCTTTAAATGTATACAATCTTAGGCGTTAAGAAACTGACGCAGAAAATTTATCAAGATCAAAACAGAAGCGTCAAATTTACCATGTAAAAAATCTATTCAGTGAGGGATCAGCTCTTCATTATAACCCTGACAGTCATTACTTAAATCTTACTAATTTTTTACAAGGTACAATGATGTGTATTTTAACTTATTGTGGAACAAAAATTGAGAGATGGAGCTTCGGGACTTTGTTGCTCTGGTTACAAAGTTGTGTGATTGGAAACAATAATTTTTCATTTATATTTAGCTTAAAACCCTTATAGTTATAACAAATAGCTTTTTTTTTATAACGTATGAAAGTATAAATACATAACACTTAAGGATCTACAGTTATTTAATGGGGTATGAAAAGCACGGCACTTTTCAGCATCATTACTTATATACTTTTTTTACTTTTTACACCTTATTATTTGACAAAATAAGGTGAATTAATTTTGAATAAAAATGTTTTTCATAAGAAGCTTTTTGTTTCTTGAAGTGTCAAGAATAGATGCAAAACTTTCATCTAAAAACGTTTTACATTACGCGTCAACACATAACAGTGTTTCATTAAATAAGTCTTAGGTGAAGCTGAAACGAAAAGGGTCACCAGTACTATTATAAATAGATAATACTTCCCAGGGTAAGTAGAAACTTTCTTGTCAATCTTGGATCTTTATTAAACTGTATTTATCCTACTAGAATTTTAACTTGCTTGTTTATATGACCTGGTAGTATAGTACAAAATATTTATTATCTAACTTGCATTTATTCTTAAGAAATCATAATGTCGTACTTTCTGTTTAAATGTCCGCATCGAATTTTTTATGACTCAATTGAAATTCGAGCCATACATTGAATTTCGATTCGTTTATGCCAACAAATTATTATTTTGTCAAGTTTTTCTGTGGAATTGTAAAAAACTTATGTGGATTTTCTTTGCCAATTTAGAGGATTAATTTGTTAGGTGGAATAATCAAATCAACTCTTTCAAAACTTTACAGTAAAAGTTCTTGCGTGTTTCTTTTATTAACAATAACAGTAGAGTAAACAAATTAAAATAAAAATATGAAACCATCTTATGATAAAAGAAATATCTGGTTACAAGAAAAATTTATCCAAACAAAAATGTCAGTATGCCAGTAAATCCAGTTTCATAGATTTACGCTGTATTCCTCGCAATATCTCTCTAACAAATAGCGAACAAAGATTTCAATGTTATTTTGAGATAAGGTAGAAACGACAAAAAAACTATTGGTCTTTAACGAAGTAGCATAAAAAGTAACAAGCAAAATTTTGACTTACAAGTCGTTCAGCAGAAGAGGCGATTCAGCAAAAAAAATCAAAAGTCAAAATAAGGAACTATGCAGAGAGTCCTTTGCAATACCACAAAGGAAACAATTAGTGTGCATTTAATTTAGTAGCTATGAAGAAGCGGCCACTTGCCATCCACGAGACAGCCAAGCGAGGAGTAGACCGATCGGCTCGAGTAGCGAAGGCAGGCAGCCCCGCGTAGGCTTAAAGCAGACGAATGGGGGCGACGCACACATAAGTGAAACAAACTACTCATGTGAATACAATTAAATTCGATAGTTAAAATCATGCGTGTGCTGCTCCCCATTAGTCAGTAGCCAACCGGAGCTCCCTAAAGGTGAAAAATAACCCTTAACCCTGAAAGCCTCTTCTTATCCGCACACTTTCTATGTTAATTTTATAGACTTCTTTTTTTTTTTTTTTTTTTTTTTTTTTTTTTTTTTTTTTTTTTTTTTTTTTTTTTTTTNCAGTAGTTGCTCATTAAAGCAAATTGCTCTAAACAATTTCGGAACAAGCAATAGATTATTTTCTTAAAGTTTAAGTAACAAAATAAAGTAAAATTATAATAATAAAATTAACAAAATATTGAAAGCAATCTAAACTACAATAACATATTAATTCAATCGAAACGAACGAAAAGCTTTAAGCAAAACAAAACGAAAAGGATAATTAAGTTGAAAATAATGAAATATTAAAATTGTTTCGCAAAAAAAAAAAAAAAAAAATATTAAGTGTCTAAATGGACGTCTTCTTGGTCCCGTGGTTGAGATTACTCAGCATCAGTATTGAGTCTGATCAACTAGACAATTGGTCGAGTGAAGGTCGAGCTGGCAGTTTTGATTGAGATGACTCGGACCAATCCATCAGAGCCAGGATGAACTTCAGTAATGCGCCTGAGTGGCCATTTAGTTGGTGGCGTGAGCTCGTCCTTTAATATGACCAAATCGCCAGGCTGCAAGTTTGGCTGAGGGTTGAGCCACTTATTTCGTTTTTGCAGATAGTGTAAAACCTCGTTTCTCCAACGAGCCCAAAATGAATCACGAAGGTTGCGAAGAATCTTCCATCTACTGGTAAAACACTTGGGTTGCATGTTCGTCGTAAGGCTCTTGGTACGAAAGGAGAGCAGAGCCGACCAAGAAGTGTGCAGGTGTAAGAGCAACCATATCTTCAGCATTGTTGCTAAGTGGGCAAAGTGGCCGTGAATTTAGACAGGCCTCAATTCGAGACGCCAGGGTTGAAAGCTCATCGAAGGTTAGTGTGGAATCACCGATAACGCGCTTGAAATGGTATTTAAAGCTGCGTACTGCAGCCTCCCATAGGCCACCAAAGTGGGGTGCTCGTGGAGGGATAAACGACCACTCAGTGCCTTGAGCTGCCAAGCTCTCAGTGACGCTGTTGGCAAATG